AAGCAGTATCATGAAGATCTGCTAAAAGTTTCCTTGGGTTATAGTGCCTAAAAACAGAAAGAAAGTAAGAATAATGGGAAAACAGCAGTCAAATACACAGACCTATCTAGCAAATTCAGAGCAGATATCAAATTATATTGACGAGCAGTCGAACTCCATTTCTCAACATCTTCTTCTAGGAAGTTCTGCTGACGAAGTCGCCATTGCATGACCTACGATTAATCACATAAAAACAAGGAAATATTACACTTTCCTCAAAAAAATCTGTAAAAACAAAGTCATCAAAACTATCATAACACCCTGCATGAAGAGAACGCACAAAAATAAGAAAGAACTGTAAAAGTAGATGGTCAACCATGAAATTACTGATGCGTATCGCTATTCAAAAATGAGTTCCACTAATATCAAGCAGATAAATAGAAACTAAGGAAATACTTTAAGATATATAGGAACCTGTGACATTTCCGTGGTATAAATAGTTCCATATATACCAGATAACTTGGCTGTAATACCACCATCACCAGCGCCCAAATCAAGAAGCTTAATCATATCTGTTAAAGTACACGGTAATCCAATGAAGCCACCAAAATGCGGACTTCACCTTCTTATCCGCAGAGATCCACTCGGGAGGAATATCCAGAAAAGTGTTTATCCGATCCGTCGAAAAAACAAACATCTTTCCTCGATTTAGTAAGCCATTAATACTTGTTTTGGAAAGGAACGTAGATAATATGGCTGACATAAACGCATACCAAATCTGAAGAAGTGTCAATATAAGAACTGTTATTTTTATCATGATTAGATTTAGATAGAGAGCGTACCTGTAAGCACAATGAGGCACTTATAGCAAACGAGTTACCAAGAAATTGTTCGGTTTCCAAATCAAGGTCAGATTTCGAAAAGGTACTTTGTAACAGTGGTGAGAGCAGCTGGGTCTAAATTACTTGATTTCAGTGTATAGCTAGTAGGAAAAAGAAGTATGTAAATTTAGTTGGCAAAACATGTAAGGCAGAAAAAATTTCAAATAGATAACGTGGTGAAGGCAGATAAGGATAGGATAAAGGGCAGGGCAGGGCAGTACAGGGCAGTAGGGCAGTACATTACCGTATGAC